TCTGAGACAATGAGGCTTCAGACTCATGCGGTGGTTGCGGAGAAAACCGTCTCTGCCCTTGCAGACCCGCTTGGGATGCTGAACACAATGCGAGCTTCTTTAGCCAGGAAAAAAAATGGAGTCAGACTCGTGGTGTGAGCGGAGCGAAATTGGAGCGGAAAATAGGGCGACGCTCAGTCCTTTTAAAAAATGCCCATTTGCGCTCTGTCCAAGATCCGCCCGCTCGCGCTCCACTCCGCTCACATGCTCTGCACCGGAACGAACAAATAGTCTCCGAAACGGATTGAAGCGCGCATGTGAAGATGTGAAGACTGTGTGTGAGCCACGAGATGCACTGTAACCGCGCTACCGATCGCAGGCGGCAAAGAGCACTTTGATCACTTGATTTAAAAAATAACGTATTTCAGGGCTAGATCGCTTCTTTTATTTTACAAACGAACTAAATTGATGGTCTTTCAGTTGGAGATGTTTTATTTATTTCTACTGTTAGATCCGTGCCGCGAGAGCTTTTAAAAGTGGTGGGGACAATATCGACCCTGGCAAAAAGTGGTGGGGACATGTCCCACCCGTCCCACCCGCAAATTACGCCCCTGTTTATGAAACAAGTTGAACTCTAAAACGGCTAGAAAATCAAAGCCATACATCTAAATACGTTGTATTCCAAATTTGAGAAAAAATCGAATCAAATTTTATTTATAAAGCACGTTTAAAATCAACCTTGGCCAAAGTGTTGTACATGAAAGAAAACAGGAAGGAAAAAAATGACAGAAAAATTAAAATAAAGATTGAGACAATAAGCACAGTAGAGCTACAAATAATTGAAAGAGCAAGAGAAAATATGAGTTTTAAGCATGGATATAAATTCAGTCAATGTAGAAGCTGTTCTAAGATGCAGTGGCAGGTTATTCCACAGCGCCGTGTTTTGTGATGATGTTTCACGTTTCATCAAAGTCAAATACCACCCGGATCTGGGATGGCTTTTTTGGATGGTACACGGTAAAAGAAGGTAGATACCAACACTGTTCATTAGAACCAACTGAACGAGCTATTTCTGCATGATCATTTTGCAATAGCCTCTCCATAAAGGCTACAAAGTCTTTTTTCATCTCAGTCTTTTTCCTGGGAGATCGTAGAAGTGAAATGAAGCTTTATACAGCTTGTTGACAGCTTGTGTTCATTATACACAATTAACAATTTGATTTGCATGATCTAACAGTCACTCTTAAAAATAAAGCTTCTTTATTGACATTGATGGAAACTTTCTAATCCAAAAGAAGGAATAGCTAGGAAAACAGTTTATAGTGTAAACATGTTCTTTAGAATTTTAAAATGTTCTTCACTCTGAGAAAAAAAAATCTTTTAAGAACTTTTGAATGAAGGGGTAGAAGAATAAATAACACTTGTTTGGCAATCACACTTCAAGTACTGACAGATTAACGGTTTAGTTCACCCCCCCAAAAAAAAAGAAATAAACTCTGTTCACTCCCTCAAACGACTTCTTCTGTGGAACACAAAAGAAGATGTTCTGAAGAACATTAAGAACCAGTTGAACCAATATTAGTGCCGATTGACTTCCGTCGTATGGACAAAAACATAACTGAACACATTTTTCAAAATATGTTCCACAGAAGAATAAATCACACAACTTTGAAACAACATAAGGGTGACATAATTGTACGTTTTTTAAATGACTATCCCTTTAAAACAAAGCCACAAAAGCATTAAGTATAGCCTATCCCTATTCCCAGAATTAATAAATAAAAAGTAAGCTTTTTTATGTAGACAGTGTACTGATCATCTGATTATTGTCGTTTAAATACAAATCTGATGATTTCTCTGTCAGCAGCAACTCAATTGAAAATAAAGGTTCTTTGTGGACATCGATGGAAATTTTCTATTCCAAAAAAAAAAAGGAATTGTGGAAAAGATTTTACAGTGTCTAATCTTGCTTTCAGTATTTTTTAGTAAAGATTCTTAACCCAACTTAAGCGACGGCCGTGTTTATGTCACCACACTCAAATTATATAGGCCTATTCTACGTATATTATCTTCTATATTATATATTATACTATATTCTAATTCTAGAATAACAAAGTTCATATGTTCAATACATCCTCGGTTTTCAGAAAGTTACACTTTTATGTATTTCATGGAAACAACAACGAGTGTCAATTTAGATTACACATTTACACCTTATGGTGAATAGTGTAGAGTTCCTGTTACTCAAACAGTAAAGACACGGTCATGAGTTTAATGGAATTCATGGACTGGAATTTATAAACTGTATAGACTTCCCTGAATATTAATAATGCAAGTCACTGAACAAAAAGTGTTTATCAAATTCATAAATGTAAATGGTCATTCAAAGGCACTGATTCATACTTACCTGACTAAAAGATACAAACCAACTGTGAACATAAACTGGCCAACTGGGACAACTGGTTATGTGGCGAAATAACTGTAATTTCTTCTGAAATCTTTAGATGACATGGGTAATAATGTTTCTGTTGCTCAAACAGGAGAGCAAAGGCAAGGTTGTGCAATTCCCAAAGAATTCATGATCTGATCAAATGTGTATCTTAAAAATGAATGCAGCCTAATATTACTGTTTGTTTGTTTTTTGTTTTTTAGGAATGACGCGTACAGACACAATATAATTTTGAGAGAATAATTAAAGATGTGTCTGCCAATTGGTTCGACAATATCAAATTCCTAACTTATCTTTGTAGACAATGTTTTGTTGGCCAGAAACTGATACAACAACATAAAACAGTCTTAAGTGATTAAAAACTCAAACAAGTGGAGATACTGAGACCACCAGATGAAGTTCACACTAACCCCTGAACCCCCTGCGTGTATGTATATATATATATATATATATACTGTATATAATACTGCTTGAGACTAAGGGTTGAGATGACACTTCATTTTAAAACGTCACTGTAGGTCGTAATACTCTAATACTGCATGTACAAACGACATATGGGCTCGTTTTTCGGAGGAAGATGTCTCAAACCCAAACGTATAATACACCAACCTATACCATAACCAACCAATGCATATCGTATGCACATAAAAACTCACTTTAGCGTATAAATTACACAACAATATACATGCGTGTTATAAAGACGCATTTATGTGATCGGGTTGAAATGAAAGATAAAAGAAGCAACAACAAAAAACATAACTCAGATCGGCTTTATGCAAAAGGCCAAGAGTGATTCAGCTAAAGATCTTCCTTACATATAACACCTTATTAATTCAGTTCATCTCTTCTTCAAATGCAACAGGAGATTACACCTGCTGTTTATGAGACTAACACATAATAAACCCGGTGAATTGAGTCACATATTGTAAATGTAAATTTAAAAAGTCCCAGATTGTGTTGTTTCAAGAACCTGAGTGTAAATCGTGTGATTATGTGAATTGAAAGCTGTTTATGAGACGTCATGCGCTGTCTTCAGTCTCTCAGGATCTTCAGTTTTATATTTTTCTTTGGAGTTGCATTTGCCGGTGCACATGTACAGTGTCACGAATGATGGATTTAACTGTTTCTGAGGAAACTTCACTGAAGCTCAGCCCACACAAAATACATATGCTGTCAGATATATGTCAAAACTCAACTATCGCATGTGTGCAGAACGCAGTAACACACAGTTGTCATCGCAGGTTACTGGACTGTGTGTGTGTGTGAGCACACATAATAGCCCTGCACACACAATCAAACGTGCCAGAATAGCCTACACTAATAATGGTCTGGAAATAAAACTGCAAAATAATCATATCTGTTGTGTATATAATTTGAATTTTCGAAAATTTGTATTTTTAATAATATAGCCTAGGCTATAACATTATGATATTTTATTTTATTTCTATGAATGCTGCGTTCGTCACCGTCAATGAATCACACATAGTCAACATAGTCATGTGTGTGTAAACTATTTCTACAAAGCGAAGTGATGACAATGGAATTAAATCGAGCTATAAGGTTCAGAGTGTTTTTCCCGCACATTATTATGACGGTGAAGAATCTTTCAAAGAATCCTGGGGAAAAAATACGCACTTTTCAACATTGACAATAATAATAAATGCTTCTCAATCAGCACGATTTCTGTTTTTTACGGTAGGCTAGCTAATGCCAGAAAGAAGAACTATTTTTGTTCAGTCAACAACTTTCTTTTAGAGTAAAAACATTTTTAAAAAACTAAAGAACATTTTCCTCTATAATAACTTTTTGTTAAAGGTTGATGGATGTTAAAGTTTCTTCATGAATCATCGATGCCAATAAAGTAACTTTGTATAGAAAAGTGAAGCGCTCCTGTTGACACAGAGATCATGCAAACCAGATTTGTATTTAATAATGAAATTTAAGGAGAATTCATGATCAGATGATCAGCACACACTGTATCTGTACACAAAAAGTTTTTAATCTTTTATTTAAGATTTATAATCTAAGATTTAAAAAAAAAAATCTTTAAAGCTTTTAAACTTTAATTAAAGTTTTTAATGTTTTTATTTCAAATGCATGATCTGTAGAAGACACTGATTCTTTAAAGTTTGCTTACATTTTTTTATTCATCAATTGTTTGACTGCATGGAGTAATGATGCTGATGCTTTTATCACAGGAATAAATTACATTTTACAAAATATTCAAATAGAAAACATGTTATCTCAGATTCTCTAAACTGTTAAACATTGCTCTATAGTTTGTGTTTAAATAAAGAAAACATAATTTTGTGGGTCATTTTTAAAGGGATAGTTCATTCATAAATAACAATTCAGTCACACTCATGTTGTTTTAAAGTTGTGTGACTCGAGACACCAATATTGGTTCAACTGGTTCCCAGTGTTCTTCAGATTATCTTCTTTTCTATTCCACAGAAGGAAACAGAAGGAATGTTTTTCTGAATATTACACAACAGCCCAAAGTAAAACTCCACCTATTCATTCAGTCTCATGTGTTTACATGGAATTACAATGATGATGATGTCATGAGATTTTGGCAGCATAAATAGTGGATCAGAATCAATCTGTGAGACACACTGCCTGATAATACAGTTTATTATCCAGCTTTGAACACCGGCACAATGACTGATACACAGCAGAATTGTGGAGGATGGAGCAAAGTGGAGCCTGTCACTGACGAGGTGGAGAACATCTGCATTGAAGTAAGAGACAGAAAATCACTCATATAGTAAATGTGGTTTTGTTAAAACACAGCCTAGAAAAATTATCTATTTTGATGCTGTAAAATGTGTCATTTTTTATGTGTACTGTTTTACTTTTCACTTAAAGTCACAAAACATTTCATATGAGTTTTCTGATATAAGTACCCACTAGAGACCAGTAAACGAAATCTTTTTAAAGTGTAATTTAGATGAATATGTGTGTGTGTCTGTGTATTTCAGGCAGGGAAGCAGGCTGGAGTCCATTTTGATGTTTTCATTCCTAAAATCTATCAGTATCAGATTGTGGCAGGAAAAAACTATCTGGTCAAGGTAAATGAGTGTTTGGTATTATTTCACAGAAATACTTTCAGCAAAATGTGTGGCAAAACTGTGGCAGACAGTGTGTCCTAGACGAGTTTGATGTGCCATTTTTCCGTCCTCTCTAAAAGATAAAATAAATCACTGTATAAAGTTTCTCTGCCTTTGTGTAAGAGAAAACTATTCTCAACTTTGTACTCAAACACTCAAATCTAGTCTGCAATGAGCAGAACTCATAGAAATATGTTTGGTGTGTCATGGAAAATGAATGCGATTTGGTCACTATCAATGTGAACAGGGTTTTATATATAAATTATAAATCTATGTGGATTCCTCTCTCTCTCTCTCTCTCTCTCTCTCTCTCTCTCTCTCTCTCTCAGGTGAAGGTCTCAGAGGATAATAAGTACCTTCATGTGAAGATATTTCAAGATCTCCCCTGCAATGGAGGGAAACTGACTGTGACTGGAGTCCAGTACCCTAAACTCTACAGTGACTCTCTGTCTGATTAAACAGACACACAAAGATAGAGGAACTATTGAAAACTGTTTCATTCCTCATTAAACTCAATATTCAAACCCTCAGTGCCTGTGTCGGTGTGTTTATATGAACAACACTAAATTCACTTCACTTTACTACAACTGAAATAATAATCATACAAACTTAAAAATTCAAACTCATTCTAAATCTTAAAAACAAAAAGTACAATAAAATACTGTAAAATTACCTTCATTTTTCAAATTTTATGATTTAATTGACTACATGACGTTTTAAAGGGGGGGGGGGTTGGTTGGTTATGATTTCACTTTTCTAACTTTTCTAAAAAAAAAAAACATCTGGAACATTACAACTCTCAAAGTTCAAAGCAAAGGGAGATATTTGCTTTTAAAGAAATAGTTTTTTTAAGGACTAAACAAACACCTGGTAGGACTTTTTTTTTCGCACATGTAAATAACATTACATAGAAAAAAACAGGACTGAGTAACAAACACAAAGATAATTAAATGAAAGAATAAAAGAGACAGAGACATTCACAAGACGGCAAATACAGATTCATAATATCTTACACTTTTAAGAGACTTAAGAGTGAGTTTGTTAGAGAAAACCTAAAGGATGAGATTTTGACAATCTACATTTATGAATGAAAAACTTGCCATTAAAGATTATAAATGTATAAAATTGTGAATATTGCAAATAATTTCTTTTACATTCAGTGTTATCGTCAGATTAATTTTAACTGAAAAAATGATGTTAACAATCTTTTCAAAATGATTTTACACTATGGCAATCAACAGATGATTTAAAAACTCCTCACAGTTGTTACATTCTTTCCCAATATCCATAAAATTAGAAAGCCACATATTAGTTGGATATATTTTGTGTAAGATCTTCAGGTGAATTTATCTTACTTTTTTAGAAATACAAAATTTGTAAGGGAGCAGCCATGCTTTCCTTCAATTAACGTCTCTTAAAATGGAATTAAAATTTCCCTCTTGGAGTAACTTTCTTTTGTTCGTTAAATACTTGTCTTATATCTTTGTTAGAACATGTAAAGGGTGTCTGCAGTATTTAACAATGAATTACTTAAATTAATTCTGTTGGTGCAGATAGATTTAGCAGAAGATTTTTAAGTTTGAAAAGGAGGTAGCAGGTTGTAGTGAGAAACAACAGACAACAGAAGTTAGACATGAACTGGTATGTAATTTGTTTCAATTTCCAATGAAAACCATGAGAATCAGAAAAGGTAATTACAGTGTCAGTCAATTATACACACAGTTCAACTAAAAACTCATCTCTTCCGTGAGCATTTAAAGCTGCAGTCCGCAGCTTTTCCTCTTTGTCACCATCTCTGTTAGAAATCTGCAATTGGCTTTATGCACACACAGCTGCACTACTTCCTGAACTTAAGCAAAGAGTATAGAAGAACAAGAGGCGAAACTCTGATGCTTTTTTGGTAACAGCCACTAGATGGCGCTTCGGTAGCGCGGCCGCCATATCGGGGTGAAAATTCCAACTGGAGTTACTGGACAACAGCACAGATAACAGTTTTTTTAGGTAGTTTTTTCTTGCATTAGTGAGTATTTCCATTGTATGCAACTTTACACTTTTACTACTATTATTAGTTACCAACTCCACTAGGCCTAAAATATATTTTGGACGTTTTAATCCCCTGGATCATGCTACAAACATGATGATCATTGATGCGCTGTGTCCGTTATCCTATAACTAATTGCCACTTTGGACATTGGCTGTGTTTTTTTGTTAATATAAGATAGGATACTGCAAAAAAAACTGTTTACTGTAAAGTTATTCTTTTGCTGTTATATATTGTCAAACATTTACATTTTAGTAAGTTACAACATTTATTGCTGAATTAATTTTTTTCATTGATTTTTTTTTTTGCCTTTCACCTTATTTATTCACATAATTTAATACTTAATTTAATAATTACATAATTTAATGAATACATAATTTAATAATTCCTTTTAATACCCTTTAAAAAAATGAAACAAAATGAAGCATTTGAATTTATCTTTTTTTATTATTTGTTTAATGACAGATAAGTGTGACTGGATCTCCCATTCGATGTTTGATTTGATTTTTTTTTTTTTTTTTTTTTTTGTGATCAATTATTTATTCAATTTCTTACAATCATCCTTTACACACTAGAGAGGGAAACATTTTCACAGGAGAGAAAAAGGCTGACCATCATTACCAGTATAACAGAAGCACACAATATTGCTTGTTCAGATGCCAGTATCTCTTCTCCTCCCCATATCCTACCCAACCCAAACCCACCCTCCAGCCCCTAGCTAGATTCGCTCAATGTATGAGCAACACGCAAAAAAAAAAAACACACACAAAAAAAAAAACACCATAGTCGACACACTAACACATCCACACACATACACATCAACCCTTTCCCATTGCCACCCGTCCATCCTACCTCATTGTGAAAACCACAAAAGTCCGCAATACATCATAAAACACAAAGCAGAACACCGGACATTGAAAGAATTCAGGCCTCCACCTTCATATTATAGGAACCACATAGGTCAATACAATTTTTTTCATTGATAACTTATTTTTGTAAGTAACGTTGGGAAACGGTCTATGTTATTATAACTTTATGAACTGATATCACTTTATTCTTACCTATCACACTTAATATGGAGAGTAATATAGCCTAATGAATTAAATTCTCGAACTTCCATGTCTCAAGTTATGTGGGGTTAAAAGCCCGGTTAAGTAGCAACTTTTTTTTTTTTTACTGCTATGGGAGTTAAATCATCACCTATAGCCTAATTATTTCAACCTAAAAATGATCTCTGCACTGGACTAAATATATATTATATGACTGCCGAGTCGCTTTCACCCCGAAATGGCGGAAGCGTAGGGCTGCTGCTGGGCGCTGGTGTTGCAATGGAACGTTCTATTGGCTTTCACTTCTTGTCAATATACTGTACGTTCTTTGACTTAAGCAACCTCCTGTCTGCCATTATTGGCCAAGCTTGATTAATTCAGGTGTGTCTGATTATTGTTGCCGTACTGAGGTCAGGCACACCTGAATTAATCAATTTGTCCAATAATGGCAGACAGGAAACAAGGAGCTGGCTTCAGTTCAGGAAGTAGTAGTGCAGCTGTGCATAAAGCCAATTGCAGTTATTTGCAGAAATATCATCATTACGTGGGTTGTAAATCGCATGAAACAGCGGATGAACACAGTGTTTTGATGCGAGTGGTGCTGCTGTCAGGATACTGTGACAGAATACAGAATCACACATTCACTTTTTGAAAGTTTGACCAACATAAGAATTTTAACCGGAAAATGTCTTCTGAACAAGTGACATCCACTTTTGTTCTGATCAACTAAGTGGGAAAAAAGCATTTGACATGATAAACTTTGTTAGATTTAATTACACGATTTACAGCAACCGTGCAAATTCCTACTTTGTTCTCAAATTGTTCATGTCAACAACATCAGCATTGCGTGACTAATTTAATGTGTTTTATGGTTACCTGTGTTGTTCAGAATTCATATTCTCCATAATAGCAAATCGAGAAAGGCACAACAAAGGAAACTCCAACTGTGTGACTTAAAAAAAAAAATTAACAATTGAAATGTCTTACTTGTTCAGCAGAAAAAAGCCGTCTCTTCTTCTGTTTTGAATCCCTTCAAAACACGGAGTTCGCGCACTTTTCAAAAGCCCCGCCGATGTTTAAATCGTGTTCGCATGAGACGTTTTCTTTCTCTTTCTCTAGACACCTTAAATCCGAAGTATGAAGTCTTTTGTGTTTTATAGCTGCTGAATCTCCAGTTGACACTGATGATTGTTGTTTGGATCTTTCTGAATGCCATGAGTTTAATTATGTAAAGTGCTGCGAGAAAAGCCTATCCACAAGTTTCCTACGCCCCATGAGGCCTTGCGTCAAAAGTGGGCGCGACTTCCGGTTGGAAGTAAACAAAGCACGATTTGACATGCTTGACACTCGTTCATTCAACAGTTGACAGTCATTCAAGTTATAGCGATCCAAACTAGCTAACGATGTGGGAACACAACCTCAACAAAATTAAAAAGGGTGAAATAACAGTACCTTTACCCTCCGCAGTAGTTGATTAGGAGTATTATAATAACATTATTAATAATCAATACTCATCAAGGCAGGTTGACAGACAGTTGTGTGAGCTGACAAACAATTAAAATAAAAAATACACACTTGGTCATTGTGCTTTGGAGTTTATTCAAAATTATAAATGAATGTGCTACTGGAATACATTAACTGGCACATTTGGTATTCTGTCAACTCCTGAGTTTAGGTGTAACATCAGTAGCGAACAGCCAATCACATGCTGATAGAGTTTATAGAATATTAAGAATTTAAACAAATGTACACAGGAAGATTCGTCGTCTTTTGGGAGGTGATGGAAACTACAGTCGTTGGCAGGATCAGAGACGGGCTATGGCAGGAACACTCTGATTTCGTTTTCAGCTTATGTTCAAAACAATCACGTTTAAGCCACTGAATTAGTTTAGTCCGGTTATACATACAACCGCGAACAGCACATGTTGTCCCTGAGCTCTGTAACGACATCTCTCATAAAGATTTGCGTCTTTAAATAAAATAATTCTCAGAAAAACAGCTAGCCTCTTCGCTAACTAACACACAAAATACCATTGGAATGCTACTTCCGCCGCCTCACCGGAAGTTTCACCCACTTTATTTTTTACAGGAGCGCCCCTCGGAAACTTGTGGATACATCTCTACATCCCCTCACGTGTACGGGTGTGACGTAATGACGCAAAGACATGCTCGAATTTCCCCCGGAAACCCACCAGTACCAATTAATATCATGATTACAAGCTAACTGTTTTGAATCTAGCAAAGGCATGTTTTGACCACTGGCAGAATATGTTTTTTTTTTTTTTTTTTTTTTTTTATAATTATTTTGGATTATTTTTAACTTAAAAAAGTTAAAGCAGCTTTAACATTTTTTTTTAATTTTCTTTTAAATCCTTGCTTATAGAGCTTATGATACCCCGTGCAATGTCTTTGTATATGGAGTTGTTTTTGCCTCTTCACG